CGAAATAGTTTCTGAATACGACGAAATAGTTTCTGAATACGACGAAAGGAGTTTCTGAATACGACGAAATAGTTTCTGAATACAAGAGTTTCTGAATACAACGAAATAGTTTCTGAATACAACGAAATAGTTTCTGAAGACTAGTTTCTGAATACAGTGCAGTTTCTGAATCCGACTTTGTTCCGGTTTAGAACTATATACTGTCGCCTCCTTGGGGAGGTTTGGAAGGTAGCTGCATTCGGCATTCGCGCCAGTGATTAATACATGCCCCCCCCCAAGTGACTTCTTCATGCGGGGGGGCATGTGCTTCTGGGCCCAGTGGAGCTGAATCGAACACCCCACGGAAACTGCCCGAAACAAGTCGTCGACACGCAGGAAAGCAGGGTGAGCGGATGAACTATTGCATCTCAATTTGTTGACCACGGTTCCCCCTTTTGACCCAAAGCCACATCTGAATTTCTTTATAAGTTGATCAGTTGATTCTATGATATGTCGTTCTAACTTCGGGTGCGTGGCATCGGAGACCGTTTCATCCGACCAAAGGGTGATGAAAAAGGCTTTTGAGGCGACGCATTCTGCGGGTTGGTTCTGGATTCCTCGGGCACAGGCCGCGAGTGACCCTGCAAGATCCGTGACCATGTTTTCTCTGCGTTCGATCCGTGCGCATGGGTCGTCAAGCAGTGTTTCTTGCCCCCGTCCCTGCATTCCAGAAATCGCTGGACTAAGGATCGAAACATGATAGGACTCTATCTTAGCACTATAAGTACCTATACTGCAGAATGTGATTTTTCATGGGACACACGCTGCGCATCAGAACGACGGGGCGGGTCCCCCTCGGCAGCCTTCGATTCGCCGAACCCTCTTTGTCCGAGGCGGCCCGAGAAACGGCCGAGAAAAGGACGGCAGTTGCAGTGGCGAGCCTGTCATCCGAATGCTGGGTACTCATCCAACTTCATCTGCAGAATATGGAAAAAGAAACAACTGACATCTGCTCAAACATCGTGTCGAAGGACTTACCGTGCCCCTGCACCAGAATCGAAGTTTTCCCAATTCAGGTTGCAGCTACACATGGTAATTGGAAACTCAGCAACCTGTCAAACTCGCCTCAGCACCTTTGAATCCCTCGCCTGACTGCTGATTGTTCGGGTTGCTTCGGCTCCACCGGCTTACCATTCTCCCCCTACTCCCCGCGGCGCCAATAAGCGCCTTCCTAAGTCACTTTCGGCCAAATAAGCCTGAAGGACCATCCGTTTATATATATCCCAAACATGACTTGCGTTGTTTAGTGCTTGTATTTATCTTGTGCTAGCCCTGGGTTCGAGTCTGACCAGTCACACAGCCGTGTCAGCAGAACCGCAGCGCAATCGGAGCCAACCGGATGACTTTCGTCGTGGATGTTTTCCGGGAAGTTCATCCAAACCCTGTGGAAGTGACAGAGCCTTGTGGAAGTTCGTTGCACTACACTCCCTGTTCCATAACATGGTTACGTGGAGAATGACCCCGAAAGGAAGGGTGGTTTTACCACTTCCATGTTAGTTCTAGGGAGAGTATCTCCTTTCCTTCGTTGGTTCAGTCCGAAGAACTGGGCACGGAGTCTCCTCATGCAGCTGCTTCGTGCCAGACGGACGAGGCATGGTCCTGGAGCACCTCAAGTAGCAGCCTCTTTGGTGGTGGATGCCGACGTGCCTTCGACTCGGTGCAGGGCCGTGCCAGCCAAAGACGATCAGGGCCAAACACGATGCTCTGCATGGTGTTTCAGTGGTGAAAACTCGTAGTCTACGTAGTTCGCCCTACCATTCACAAAAGGCCGTATGCTTGATGATCTTTATTGAGATAAGCGGAAGAATTGATTGGCAGGTGTGCTATGCCATCCGTTGGTGACTTGCCCCCAATGCCAGTGTTATCAGATGGATCTCAGGCAGGCATCGCTGACCGGCGCTGCGATTCCACTAGAAATGCGAACGGCAAGCCCTGTGCAGCTGGACACATGGACTGAGATGGATTCTCAAAAAAGAACTCCCGATGCCTTCAGCTGGATCTCTTCGGCACGCTTGACGGCGACGAAATGAGAAGACTGAGACTTTGGACACTGGGACCGGCATCAGTGGCTGGACTTGGCCGGCTTGAGTCCAATGGCTCGTCTGGCTACAGTGAGCCCCTGGCATGTACGCTGCCAGGGCCAAGCGCCCGAAGATCTACAACGGATCAAATACATTTCGGATGTGCTTATAGTGTTCCCCGGGGAATCCCTCCGGACTACGCTTCTCTGTAAAACGCTCAGATCTTTTCGTTGATAGATTGGCGGGCATCGTCTCGTCCAATGCTTTTGCCTCGTTGGTCCGCAGTCTGGACAAATACCACCACAGCTGCGGGGCAAACGAACGACGCTACCAACCACAGCTGCGGACGCGCCCCGCAAGGAGCCGGTGCCGCGGACCAGATCGTTCCCGGGACCCGTTTTGCAGTGCCTTCTCGGTTCCGAAGAGGGGTTGTCTTGGAAGTGGGATGCAACCAGGGCCTGAAGAAGGAGTGGTAAACATGGACACCCCGAATCACATCTAAGGGGCTATAGACACCCCGACAGGAGGGTCCGCACAAGCATGCACTTGCTATTACTTCGGATCTCTTGAGAGGCATCATTGAGATGTCATTTTGCGAAGCTCAGCTAGTTTCTCTCATTAAATATGTGGAAACAGCCGCTTCATAGGTTTGCCTCCCATTTTTTGGACCTTGCAACCATTTACGTTTTGGGCGCCGTGCTTCATGGTTTCGTTTCTTTACCAACAGCGAAGCATAGGGGTTTTCAGCCATCAGAGCAGGCGTGCGGGCAAATCGGAGATCGGAGCAGGTCCCACTGCGCAGGTTCCAGAGCAGGTTTGCGTCTGCTCCGGAGCAGGTTTTAGAAAAGGCTCCGGAGCAAGTTGTTGGGACAACAAATTGACCCTCACGCGAGCATTTCCACGCCTACCAGGACCCACAAGGGGTGGTTGATGGACACCCCGAATCATCTCTAAGGGGCTATCATGGGCTATCAATGGAAGGTCCTAAACGGGTGTCCTGGTATAAACGTCTGGCTTCCACGCACGTGATCATGTCTGTGCACCGAACCACTAGGCTTCAGCCGACCCCAAAAAGCTATCGGATCCACCCTACGTCGTGATATATGTGCGGTTTGGGACATGGAAGACCCGCGTTCGTCACCAGCTACACCAACACAGATGCGCAGAAAGTGTGGGCGCAATTGCCTCCAGGTGCACATTGGGCTCTTTTGACCTACGAATCGGTCCAGGGTGTATGTTTAAAAAAATCGATCACTTCCCTGACCACACTCTCACGCTTCAATGATTATACTTCATTATAGACATGGAAAGCATTCAAAATTCAATCTGCCATGCTAAAGCCTTTATCTATGCCTTAATTATGCGGAGCTGGTGTGTATAGCAGTGGCTGTGGAGGTTCAGAATCGTATTTCTCGTCGCAACGAGTTGTTGGCACGACGAAAGATGCTTTCCTCCATGTTCCTCCAACACCTCGACACCTCCTTATAGCCCAAAAAAAACCACCACATGGCCTTTCGGTGTTCGTCCGGCCGGATCTCCGAATCTCTTTCGGTGTTCGTCAAAGGGGCTGATCAATGCAGGTCGGACTTCACTCGCCTCTCAGGTGTCTCACCGGAACGCGGCCGGTTCTCGCGGCCGCGGAGCGCCGGCTGCGCCGTCAGCCGTCGGCGTAAGACCCGTCTGCGCCGCCGCCGACGCCGCAAGAACCGGCTGATCCAGTTGGTGCAGGAGCGTGAGGACATGTCTCCTGCGGAGCGCGGGAGACACGGGGAACAGGTTGTGGTGACACGTGGTGCAACATTGACCTTTGCACCCATTCACATATACGGATTCAAACAACCATTGCTTCAACGGTCTTGATTGTTTTACTAAGCATGTGTACCCTACACCACCAGGTCAACCATTCAATGGTCTTTGGCTAGGTTAGATGCTGGGTAGATCTGTGGGGGGGGGAGGGGCGGCCGTCCCTTCCCCTTGGTGGGTTCGCTCCGCAGGGGTTCCGTGGGCTCCGTTGGAACCCACCTTTCAGCCTCTGGATCTCTCTCGATCCCCATGAAGGCAAGGCTATTTGGAAGGCAGCGCGCATGTAATAAGGAACAAACTCTCCGGACAAACGCTGCCGCCCATCATGTGCATTAACACGATCTTCTGACAGGCGTGTGTTCTGACATTTGTCCTATACAGTCAGAAGTGTGACATGGGTTCGGCATATTTTGGCATGTACTTCTGACAATTTCTGACATGTGGTCTCGCACCAAGTTGGCATGTGCTCTGACATGTGTTGTAACACATATGGTCCAACTTCGGTTATGATATGCGTTCTGACATGTAATGCGGCATTTGTTCCACCATCGAACCGGCCACTTGTTCCGTCATATGTCTGACATCGTTTCTGGCAAATGAGTTGGCATTTATGGCAAACTTCTTCTCTGGCAAATATCTTCTGACATCCTTCTTGGCATTCTTGGCAGGGCTATCTTCTGGCATTCTATCTACAAACATCAATGCTTGCATTCTGTTCTGCCATTCGGAATGGCATGTCAGGTCCGCAACCGAGCTGGCGCTCCAGGGTAGCGTGCGGTCCCTGTGCGGTCCGCTCCCCAGTTCGGGAGTCTGTGCGCCCACGACCGCTGGCACAACCACCCCAAAAAACCGAGGAGCCATCCAGATGCGGCACGTCGCATCCGGAGGCGAGTTGTGGATGCAGCTGTCGCATCGAGGCCACCACCTTGGGTAGCCCATACACTCCGGACTGCCATAGGACCGATCAATTGACCCCCCAAAGCCACCACCCTGGCCGTTTGCAGTCCGTCATGGCCAAACGGGTCTGGGTAGGTGAACTGAGTCACGAGTCTCTCCCCACAGGAGCCCTCCGCTCCTGGCCCAAGCATGTTTGGCAGCTTCGATCTGGAGGGAATCCTGAGGCCGCGGCGCCAAGACCTCTCTCTCTCTTTTCCGACGCTGCTACTCAATGCTACGCTCTACATTGGCTACATGACCTGAAAACTGGGAGCAGTAAATCATCAACACCCATGGCCCATTATGTTCCTCTAAAACTGGTGTCTTGGTGGTGAAAACCAGCATTTTTTCCAGTATTTCCACGACTAGAGGCGTGGGCTGGCTTGAATTCAACATGTTGGAAAGTGCACATGTTCCAAGCATTTGCAAGCACGTTCATTGAACTCTTTGCTTCTCTGTCAGGGATCCTGCACTTCTTCTTGGTCCACTGGAGGCTGCAACAACGCTTCCACCTGACGTCTTTTTCAAGACGGCAAGACGGCTGCTTGGGAACCTGCTCCAAATCAACAGGCTGGCTGAGGTAGGGGGCCCCAAATCCGACATCAACAGGAAAAACCTCGGGCATTTGGCCCAAACGCTTGGCACTCTCGACGCGCGGACGCGCGCGGACCCCGCGTGGAAGTTCCTGGCGTGGAAGTCCGAGGGATATTTCGTTCCAATGATCGAAATGTCAAAAAGCTCTCTCTCTCTCTCCCTCTCTTTCTCAAGTCTTGCTTTGTAGATGACAGTGGTTTCAGAGTAGATGTGGCATCGATTGATACTGAGCAGTTCGTCGAACCAAGGGCTTCGACGAACATCCACTCCGACGGTGGACGACCCTGAACGGTCCGATGGCGACCGTTCACGGTCCCGAGGGTGCATCGGGGGTGCATTGGATTTCACGAGGCTCGCTCCATGGAAGGTCATCTACGATTTCACGGTGGTTTTTGAACACTCCTTAAGCTTTAAGAGGTTATTATAGACACCTCTGAAAGGTCCTGGTATATACATGCCCCCCTTCAAAACCATCCCAGATCAGCACGCGAAATCGCGGCGAAAGGGGTCGGATGTCCAGATCGCACGTGGATTTCCAATGAACCGCTGCGATGTCAGTCACTCTGGACAGATGGGGTGAGTGGAAATCCCACGGGTTTTGACTCGTTACTTGACCCCCAAGTACTCACCCAAGTCTACCTGAGCAGTGGCGAAAACCTGTTGGAAACAGCTTTGTATTCCTACAACCCTTTCGCGAAAGCCTTCGCGTGCCTTTCGCGGTTGCAATTTTCCCTTTCGCGCGGGCCCTCTCCAACATAACTGCTTTCGCGGAGGCTTTCGCGAAACAACGCTTGGAACTTAGAAAGTCAATATGCATAATATTGTATAATTTGTATAATATACAGTATACATATGAAAATCCGCTGACCGCGGTCTAGGCCGATGAACGTGAGCATGAGCGGAGCGGGGCCGGCGTGTTCCTGTTGAGGGACTCCGGTAAGCGGTAGGCGATGGAAGAAAATTGATGTGATATGCTTAGCTCTCTGTTTGGGGACTGTGCACAGAAACAAAGTGGTTGGCCTTTCCCCTCTAAACTGGTTCTCTAGTGCCTGCACCACCTTTTTTAGCAGATTGCCTTATTGGACATCCTTGACGTTCGGGCTTTCCAAGTCGAACCTGTGGACCAAGGGGCAGATTTGAGCAGTTCGCCTTTCGCGCCGCATTCGCGAACGTTTCGCGAGCCTTTCGCGGATTTCGCCGAGTTTGCTTGGTTTTTTTGGTTCGTTCTTGTTTAGTGTTACTGGCCTTGGTTGTTTAGTTGTTTCGCCGAGTTGGCTGTATCCATTCACCTGCGTCAGCTTTACGTCCCCACAGCAGCTGCGAACACCACATGTGGAAGGCAAGGGAGGTTGCGACATCTAGTTGAACCTTTGGAGTTTAGCCTGAAACACACGCAAAAAGACAGCTAAACGCTAACATGACCCATTCAATCAGAACCTTTCGCGAGCCCTTTCGCAAACTCCATATAAAGCGCAACTTTCGCGAACCTTTCTCAGACCTTTCGCGGCCCAGCTTTTGCCTTTCGCGAAGGTTTTGGAGGACAACACCATGATAAAACCCTCACATGGAGGTTTTTGACGCTGCTCACCTGAGACTCCAACGCTACATGATGCACAAACATGGAGATTTGATCGCATCTTGAGGCCATCGGCACGAGAAAAGACATGGTCACGAGCTGAAGATCGACCTTTCAACCGGGCTCTGAGCGCTCCATATCCGGTTCGGTGGTCTTTGACCCCCATGGCATCCACCCCAGAGGGGGCGGCTAGTTCCTGGTCCATCTGCCGAGGGGCGCTTTGTTTTTTTTTTAAATCACCTTAAGCATCAATGGTTTTAGCTAGCGGTCACAGACCTCGAATAGCTTGAAAGTCAAACATATGCATCGCTTGCCCATGTTTGCCACCGATGTTAGCATCGCGAAAGGAATCCACCTGCCTGCCGACCCTTCCGCGACCTGCCGACCTGTGAACCCCTCGGCCGATAGGCCGGATAGGAGTGACCTGAAAGACGTCTGACCCAATCGTCATGCAACGATTCACCCTCTTGAAAAGTGCAAGAACACATGTCGAACACGGTGCATTTAGAGGTCGATTTGCAGGGTGCTTTGGCCACTGGCGCCTTTTTGCCTCCTGGATCGGTCGAGAAAACCTACACCCATGAAGGCCCCCCCATTCGACCACGTGAAAACTGCTTGGCCGATGGTTTGGTCAAATCCTTCACTAAAACAGTTCCCAGACACGACCCGTCTGGGACTGCCGGACTGCCGATCAGGTCAGGGGTAGTGCCAGGGGGGTCAATTGATCGGCAGTCCTATGGCAGTGTGTCTGGGGTTGGGATATAGCAAATCCGACCCAGTCCAACCATCTGCGGCACCATCCATCATCCGGATGAACCGGACACCAGGTCTGTCCGTCCGTCGGGGTCGGCGCACCCGTCGCTTGATGCGATCACGCGTGTGCTTCCGCAGACCGCGAGTGACGGCGCGCTCGCCGTGACTTTGATGGCAGTACTGGCAGCGACTGCCGCGGACACAGCCACGGCTCAACCTGGATCGCGGCGAGAAGCATCAAACATAGCAAAGCGGTCAGCCACGGCTCTCAAATGGACACACCTGATTTCCTCCAAAAGTAAAGCCAACAGCTTGGAGTTGACTCTACCCATGCACCTTCATTCGAAGGGTCAAATTAAAAAACTATGTTAAAATCCATCAAGGCAAGAACAAATCCAGTCCTTTTTTGTTTGTTTCCCTCTCCACCTCTCTCCATATTAACTTAATTACCACATGTATGGGCCACTGGCTAGACCAATGGCTGAACAAGTGCCCCCCCCAAAAAGGTCATTTTAACAACCCTAAATCCTTGGGCCAAAAGGCCCTGTTTTGGACCCGAAACGCAGGGGAACCGTCTCCTGCCGGGCGGAGCCTTTACGGCCGGAGCAGGTCCTTACCGGTTCGACCTGTCGACCTGAGCAGCTACTAGAGTGACTGTCGTGCATCGCTGGACGTCTTCTGGGCATTGTCTTGTTGACCAGCTGAAGCTACTGTCGGACAACGAATCGACCTGAAAAACCACCTTCGGTCCAGAAGTGGACACCACTTGTGGACACCACTTGTGGACACCAATGGGCTCCTGATCCCCCCAAACAGGAGTTCTTTCAGCTCGGGAGTGTTCTTTCTTGGGCCCCCCTCTTGGGAAAAAAAACATAAGTCTTTGCAAGAATCAAGGAACAAAACTGGGAAGGGTTGAGGAAATGCCCCGGGAAATTCAGGAACACCCCAATAAGAACACGGCTGGTACTTTACTGCTCACATCCGAGAAAATGGTGGTCGCTACAAAACGATGTCGTAAATCAGGCCCGGTCCGTGCTGTTTCATCCCACACGCCCTTGAACGGTTCACGTATGAAAAAATAGGGAAACCATAATAAACCAATATTGGTTGGGTCTATCCTATACTATCCTATATAGCCTATTACCAAATCTCAGTGGATGATGATGGTTCAGTTGCAGGCCTTGCTCAAAAATAGTAATACTTGTTTACTGACTGTTACAGGTAATAGGACAAACCCAACCAATATCAACCAATATAGGTTTTTGGTCTGTGTCGTTACTCGCATGATGTACCTGGTAATAGGGCCATAAACACAGTATCAAGCAGTCAGGTTTTGGATGGAAGACTGGTCAGCGCCTTCCTTCCAAACTGGGAGAACTGCCTTCCCCCCCGGCAGTTCACGCTGCCTGCCACCGTGTCGACCGAGGATCGGGGCAAAAATGCACGGCTGACAAGTGCCATCTTCATGGCGCTGGTCGGTCTCCCCTGCGACGGCGACGCAAACGGAGAACAACAAACGGGTGGAACGTGGCCTGCTAAAGACCGGTCGGATCAAAGACCACAACCCGGTTGTAGGGTGTCGGTTGCTGAAGTCGGTTGAAGAAGTTGGGTGAGCCTTTGACTGCTCCACTTGGAACCACTGGTTTTCCTTTCGCAAGGCTGCCCTTTGGTGGAAATCAACATCGAACAAATTACCCTATATGGGTGCATATGGGAATCATGCACTTCCAGCGGCTACAATGCTTCATGCAATAGTATGCGGCAAAACATGTTGTCTAAACGACAACATTCTGTCCGTGCATGTCTATTTCGCCGTACAAGAAACCGCCGTGTTCTTCTTGCAGAAAGATTCTTCATCGGCCCCCCACTGAGCTGATGGGATGCTCTTTGGGGGAAAAACAGCTGCAGGAAAAAAGGACAAACAACACAGCAAACAAAAACTATCTGCATGGGATCTTTTTTGAGACACGCATTGGATGGTCCTGGTGACAAAACCCCTTTTTGCAGGTTGTTCTATGTTAACACCGCCAGGCCAAACTTTCAAACTTGTGGACGTCAAAAGGGACCAATCTTTTTGGACACCCACATTATATAACACCTCCGACTAGTAACAAGCATGCAGCTACTAGGTGGAGGCAATCACCCTTAGGTTGGAGGCCATCTCTACTAGTAACAAGAAGCGGCTAGAAGCTACTAGACACATCCACCTGGGGGTGGCTCTCCAAAATTTTGCCGTGAAACGGTCAGCTTCCATCCAGAGCCATCCCAGTCATCGGTTTTTCAACAAACCTTGTTCTTTGAGCGAATCTGAACCGATGCGTCGATTAGTGGCTGAGGTATCTGTTTTCCTGGCCCTGCTGAGCCAGGATCAGAGTGCTCACCTCAAGAATCCTCAAGTTTTCCAATGAAAGAAATTCAATTGGCTTTGGCTGAGCCAGTGGAAGGACGGACTACATTCCTCGTCGATGTCGCCGCTGTCGCACCGGCCGTCAGCTCCTGGAAAAGCTGCCGTTCGGCTGCCACTGTTCGCCGCTCCACGTGGAGCACCTTCCTCCGTGGCTCCTTAGAGGTTGGGATGGTGGCTCCTGAGGTACAAACAGTGGTTGCGCATTGCATCAAATCTGGCTGGGACCATCCCGAAAGTACCAGTTCCTGTTTTTGGTGTCTCGTTTGTTCATGTACGCACTGTCAGTCTACGTGCAGTGCTTGCTGCACCTGTCAAGTGCCATAAGTATATCAACTATAGCTGCTCCAACAAGAAATCTTTAGGGCTTAGGGTACGCGGAACGGCCGCTTCTGCCCCAGCATCCGCTAGCGACGGCACCACTTGCACTGGCACTGTTGCTGCCTAAGTCTCGAGCAGGAAACATCTCGTACTTCAAAGGATCTCTGCCTGCCTTGGACATGTATTGTCGAAAAAAACCACCTCACCGTTAGTTGATGTTTTCATTTGTATTTGGAGTTTTCACCTTGCTGGGGATCATTACAAACACCACTGTGGTTGTCTTCAAGATCATAACCTTGTTCATCATTAAGGCCACAATGCTTTCATCATCCTTCAAAACCAAAGCCTTGTTTCACACTGTTACACTGCTTTTCATCACCTTGAACACCAACATGATCATCATCAGAAAGCAATCTTGATCAGGTCCAAGTTCATGATCGTGACCTTCATGTTTTTACTA